TCCCCGTTGTATAAGGGGTTTACTGCACTTCACCACACATGTATATGTATTGGCCTTTGGCCCTCAGTAATGTTAGTTGCCATTCATCCAACAATATGCAAGTGCAGCACTGATACCTTTTGCATCAAAGATGAATCGGTGCCTGCAAAATTCCAGAACAAGAAACTGAGCGATACTATTTGACTGATACTTCAATTTTCAATATTACCAACAAACACATTATGACAGCAAAAATGACCTGACACGAGTTTGAGCTATCACTGTGTACCAAAGAAATACTCTTAGTTAATACTATTATATTACATTATTTGAGGATAATCCCTCACCTGCTGAGGACTTTGACACATGTTGTGAATCTCCATGCATTGTTTTAGCTTTAGGTGAGAATTGGTTCTGGGCTCCAAATAAAGGACTGCAAGAAGACAGCAAATCTATCGGGTACGTACTTTGTGATTTGGAAGGGATTGTCAGCATTTCAAATAAACAGGGACCGTTTTGTTCAACAGAATCTGTAAATCTGTCCACTGGTTGTCTTTCACGGGTCACTGCGCCACCCTTACTATTTGTTGCCAGTATGCTTGCAGCTGGATCAGGGAACATGCAGGAGTCCGTTACATTCGCTGCATATTCCATTCTGTGGGTATTCAGATCATGGTGCTTATCAGATATCAAATGACTTGCAACATAAAAATCCTCATCATCCTGCTTGCTGTTCATAAAGTAATTGATTGCTTTGGTCTCGTATTCTTTACCAAGTACTGGCGTCGAAAGCATGACTCCTGCAGCAACTTCATGTTTTCTGAGTCTAGTAGGTGTTCTTGACTTGTGATTCTGAGGGGCACCTCCAACTGTTTGGCCCTTGTCACTGTTTTCTGAAAGATTGAACTGCTTTTCACCACATCTGCTGGGTGGCTCCTGATTTGGGTTTGCAAAATAGTGAACTGTATCCTGCTCATCTATTCGACAATCTGACGATGAGTTATTGTCAACTTTTAATTTCTTCCCTGAATGATCAGAAACGAGGCAGGTAGGGTCTTCTAGGGGATGTTTGATGCTCCCCGAAGGTTTGCAACGATCCATGACCATGTCAGTCATTCGAGATGGAGCAACGTTTAGCTTCGGAATTTGTTGTGGCACAAAGAGATCATCGAACACAGTACCGGTCGCATACTTCCGCTTTGGGCTGACTATACTTTCCACTTTCTGATTGAATGACAACATAGGAATCTGGTTACAATGTGAATCATCAGGGTTCTCTTCTGAGCTCACAAGTTTCTGAAAATTCAATGGTAGGTCTGAAAGCCTGCAAACGGAAAGTGTTTCTGATACTACCCTCTTGGCATAGAAATTTTCATCTTTCTGCATCTGGATCTTACAGCTTTGAAAATGCCCATCTCGCCATTCAATTTTGGTCTGTTCAGCTTCTTGCCAAGCATCATGCGCCACGCCCCACATGTTAGGGTCTAATCGCGGCACATTCTTCATTGAAATTCCTTCATGGTTTCTTCCCAACATTAGCCTTTCAGCCACGGTGAATTTCCTAAGCTCAAAAGGTGAAGTCTCAGAATTTTTTGTGCAATTGCTATTGTTGGCATCCTCCAAAGGACTACAGCTCTTGCCATATGGACTGCTGCTTGCTCTGGTCCAGTGTGCCATCCACTTGGTATGTTGCTGGCAAGATGACTCTCCAGGATTTCCTTTGCCCAAAACAACTTGGAAGTCTTCTTCCTCATTGAATCTATTCCTGGCGCAGTCTGACATGATTGAGTTACTGGGTATACAACTCAAGTAGCATTTCTTCACAACTTTACAGAATTACAGTACTAGTTGCAAAAGTCTGAAAGCAAAGATAAATATGAGTTTACACAATGAAATACTGCCTCTGTAAACAAATATAAGAGCATTTAGATCACTACTTTAGTAATCTAAATGCTCTTATATTTCTTTACGGAGGGAGTACTAATTAATTCCTGGCAAAAGAATGCGAATCATTAAAAAAGAAACATAAAGAAGGGATCATAGTACAATTGCAACTATGTTAGTTTCCATATTTGAAAAATAGGGTGTTAGAAACATTCTGACCAGAGTAAGTGTGACAGGAACATCAACACTTTCGTTGAATACATGCAATGAACCCTTATAAAAAGGGAAATATATCTGAAAAGTTAACAAAAATGAGTTTCTTCCACAGACGAGGATGATTTGAAGGAGTCTTTTCTTTGGATGCTCCATCAAAACTTAAAAATCTCATAGAAAAAATAAATATACTAGAACTTTTTGCAAATGAACAAAAACATCTAGTAATCAATTTAGTTAAACCTAACTAGGACTAATCCATGATAGCTGGGTGTTATATGTGGCATGACTGAACTCAGCTAAGAAAGGGTCCCCAAGATATCATAGCAAGTCATGAGAGATATATATGAGTTTACACATTTAAATCCTAAATCCTTGCAAAAGAATGATACACACATCGGTAACAAATACACATAAAGAAGGGGTGAAAGTACAATTGCTATTATGTTAGTTTGGATATCTGAAAAAGAGGGTGTAAAAAACATTCTGACCAGAGAAAGTGTGACAAGAACAGCAACAGTCTGGTTGAATACACATAACGAACCCTTCTAAACGGGAAAGATATATGAAAATTTAACGGAAATTAATTTCTTTAGCGGACAGGATGATTTGAAGGAACCTATTATTGTTTCCTGATGCTGTATTAAAAGTTTAAAACTTAAAATCTCTTTGCTGTCATAAATAAAAAAAACTAAAAATCTCTTGGAAGAAAGGGGAAGCACACTAGAAACAATTCCAAAGCAAGAAATAGAATTTAGCAGTCAAACCATGGTGAACCCGTAACTAGGACCAAACCATGACCATCGGATATTATAATTGACATGACTGAACCCAAAGAATAAAGGAAGGGTCCCAAAATATTATATCATGTCATGTTAACATATACTTTAAGCAGTTACCAGTAAAGAAGAGCAATTCAACCAGAACCCCGTACTACAAGCTCAAAAGGGTGATTTAAATTGGCAAAAGTAGTGTTAGCTTACCAAGTAATAAATGAAGTTCCTATATTAAAACACCCCGGGGCAAGATGATCTTGAGAAAACCAGAGAAGGCGTCCATAGAATGTTCCTTGTGATGTGAAGGAGGAATGCTTTCTCTCGTACGTACCAGCCTGCTAGATATGATCGTCGTCGTCGACGAGCACTTGTATACTACTTCCTTGCCAAAGCCCAAAAGGCGGCATGGTTTGGGGAATTGGGTCCAAAAAGGCACGAAAGGAAAGTTTGTCCGGACACTGAACTGATAAATTTGTCCTGTTTGTTCATATGCAGAGAACAATGGTATGGGTGGATGGTGTGGCAGAAACATTTCAGGGTCAGGAATTATATGTGAAAGCAACGGATTTTTACTTGGGAAAGGTACTGTGGTGAATTGGTGATTGGCGGAGCTGGAATTTCTGTGATGAGGGTTGAAGGACCGTACGTAGTTCACTCAGTCGGCCAACGTCAGTTGAAGGACCGTAGTTGAGTTAGGCATAGACACATCCGGGTTTATCTCACGATTTATTACAGCGTGATGTGCGGTGAGTGTGCCTAGGCATGGAAGGGAATTCCTCCATGGTTTCAGATGCGAGCTGCTGAAAGTGACGACACAAATCTAGCAGATCTAGCGGCCGAACCGGCTTTGAACAGAACAGAGGGTACATACAATCTTCAGAAAGCAGGGCAGAGCATCCTCCCCAGGACTAGAAATTTTGGGAGCAAGCAGACAGCACTCACCCACGCAATTCGCGCAACGGCGAGCACTCTCCCTCCTCCAGTCCTCCTCCTCCTGGGCTCCCACTCCTCGCACACCCTCGCGGCCAGATGCCCAGTTGGGAGAAGAAATGGGCGAGGCGTGGAGGGGGCACCTGGCAGGCTGGCTGTCGAGCCGTAGTCAACACGTTCCGGTGGGGAGTACAGTGCACCCGTGCGTGTAGATCAGAGGGAGGGAAGGCGGCTCGCGGAGGAGCACATGGCGTGCCGCTCTCCGGGGAGCCCAGGATGAGGATGGATGGATGGATGGCGACTGGCGATCGGCGGACGAACCTCACTTCCCTGGGGCCTTCGGGCTGTTGGCCAATAATCGCGTCAATGGCGGCGGCGTCGTCGTCCCTGTACATCGACGGATCCCTCTCTCCTACCCAGCGATGTTCGTGGCTTCTCCGTGGCGGCCGCTGTGCCGCCGAGCACGCACGTGTTTTTCTTATCTTAAAACAAAACAAAGTGATACATGCTTCAACTTTGACCGTAAATTTAACTGTCAAGACCGATTGCGGCGGGAGCAAAAGTTATATTAGTGAATTCGTATTCGAAAGAAGTTTTTAATTATGTAACTTTTTCTCTCATCGCAGTCGGTCTCGTTCGTTAAATTTATGGTCAAAGTTTAATCTCGGAAAGCGCGGCCACACTATATTTTGAAATGGAGGGAGTACATCACAACAATTTGACATTTGACATCATTGCAAATCAGCAATTTCAAATTTAGAACTGAAAACTACACGCACTTCATGTATAGACAAGATGGGACTTGCACGATAAAATGCCAGCCACACGACACTTAGATGGTTGAACTAAACTACACAGGGTAAAAATTGCTTATCGACATCTTTTATACATGGTTTAACTGGCTAACGAAGGCGAGGCTCTTTATACACCGGTCGGCGGCGCGGCGGCGTGGTCCTTGAAGGTGTCGGCTCCGCTTCGGCGTCTGTGAAAGACACGTTGTGCTCCTCCTCCGCTGCTTTGGCTTCGACATTGGCGGCGGCCATGGCCTGTTCTACCTCCACCGCTTTGGCTTTGGCGCGGGAGGTTGCCGCATCGTGCTCCTCCTTCGCTGCTTTGGCTTTGGCACGGGCCGCGGCGTGTTGTTCCTCCGCTGCTTCGGCTTTAGCACGTGTCGCGGGCCTCGCGGCCACGACACGCGCCTCCTCCACTGCTTTGGCTTCAGTGCGGTCGGCAGCCACACCGTGCTTCTTCTCACCTGTTCTGGCCTTGGCAACGGCGATGGCTTCGGCGCGTGCCGCGGCCACGACGCGCGCCTCCTCCACTGCTTTGGCTTCAGCGCGGGCGGTGGCCGTAACTCGTTCCTTCTCCGTTGCTTCGGCTTTAGCTTGGATGGCGGCCACGCCGGGCGACCACTCCTGGCAAGCAAAATGAAATGGTAGGGATTGTATATATTAGGCACTAGCATAGCGATGAACTACTAGAATGGAATGGAAGATGATTAGAGATTAAGAAAACAAAGATTAACCATATATATATTAGAAAAGAGCAACGATCAACAATGTGCATTACCTGCATATCGATGTTTGTCTCTATGCTGTACGGTTTACTTGAGTAAAATAGATGCCATCTTTTTTCAATCCCTTCATCATCTGCATAAGCCTCGACATGCTGGATATGACGGAACTTATCCCACTCGGGGCCACACTTCCCCAAAGCCATGGAAGCGAGCACCTCTGGACTGCAGTCCAGCAACAAATGACTTGGTTGTATAGTCCGTAGGCACATCGGGAGTTGTTTCTTGTTGTAGTTAACTATTAGCGCGAACCTCCGGAGTGAATTCATCTTATGTAGTAACTCAAGTTTTGGGCAGTGGTTGATCCAAAGCTTTTGCAATTTGGGAAAATTAGACATGCTAGTCAGGTCAGGTAAGTCATACAAGATGAGGTGAACTACGGAAGTGAAGTTCTTCAGCGACTGGAGGCACTGGACGCCACCTATGGTTAATTTTTTCATAACCCTTGCATGGGTGGAAAGACCCGGAGGAATATAACCCAACTTGCAGTTTTTCAGAAAAAACTCCTCCAATGCGGGCATAGCTTGAACTTTCTCCTGCCATCCCCACTCCTCCCATTCCAGCATTCCACTTAAAATCAGTGTGTGCAGTTTCGGAAAGCCAACCATCGTCTGAGATGAATGATGGTGACGCTGACTTCGGGGTTGCAAGAATTCATCACCGACAGACTTGATTGTCGGAGCGCGATTGACCTGTAAAAACTCCAAACACGGGAGTCGACACAATCCATCAGGGAGTTGGGTGCAGCAAGATAGATCTGTCATCCATAGAGTCCTCAAGTTCTCGAGTGGTACTTTTGTTGTCCACATCATCCATCTTGGGAGTTGACGCCCAAAATACCCTTTAATGTCAAGATACTCTAAGCAAGGCAGAGGGCATATCACATCAAACACCACCTCAATTTTTTGTTGTTCCTCGTTAGAGACTCGGGCTTTGAGCAACCCATCATCTCCTAGTCTGCTGCTGCATTCTAAGGTAAGTGCAGTAAGATATTGTTTTGCACCTACTCTAGCCTTTGCAATGGACGAGGCCTCTAATACATTCTCTAGACTCTTTAATCCAAGCTCCTTAAGCTGAGAAAGAGGCCCCAACTCTTCCAAACTACACCAATCACCATCCATATATGTTGGAAATCCAAATAGTACCCATAAATTTGTTAGAGCACGGAAACCCCTAGGAATACTGTTTACATGGGTGTCATTAGTTGAAAGATACCTCAATCCTCGTAGCTTAACAATGCTATCAGGAAGTTTTACAATGCCTCCACAACCTTCAAGGTTAATGTGTTGGAGGAATTTCAACTCGTGGATGTTCTCTGGCAGTCTAGATATATCTGTGCAACTTCTTAATGACAAATACCTCAAGTGCTTCAGCTGACACACAGATTCAAGCAATGCTGCAAAATT